TGTTTGACCCTCCTGGCCTGATGCCTCTGCTGTTGTCAGATAGCACCCATACCTGTACAGAAGAACTTTGCAGCCTTGGCCTCTCTCCAGAATATTTAGGCCAATTAACTCTGGAAAAGCTAAATCAATAGCAAAAGAAAGAATTAAGGACATTTATCACCAAAATGATATCACCAGTGCTCCTGAATTCTACCCCCAATTGTTATATAGCTGCAAGCCCTGTATTGCGGGGTATCTATACAATCTAACCCTAAGCAAATATAGATGGACTTTTTCCAGAGCCCGCTTTAATGTCCTCCCTTTAGCACTGCTGGAGGGAAGATTTCATGGGACTTCTTATTTACAGGACTTTGCCTTTGTGGATCCAGGGAGGTAGAAACTCTTGCTCATGTCCTTTTATGGTGTCCTTTTTCTGATGCCCCAAGACGTGCCCTAATCTCTCCATTCATTTCTAAACTTGAGGGCTGTACTGATAAATTTTATGTTTATTACTTTAAGGGATGCTGAATCGACACTCACATACCAGGTGGCCAAATATCTTTATTATGTTATACAATTGTGCAAAACTTTTAATTAGTTATGTTGCTTTACTGTTTTATTGTTTTCCTCCTCCCCTGATAACACATTTTGTGTTGTTTATTTTTACAAAGGCTGGTCAAAAACTGTAATAAAGATATTTGATTTGAATAAAAACTGAAATGTGTTTTGGATTATTCTAATCTACAGCACTATTTATAAATATAAATCAATCAATAATTTACTTGGAGGACAGACAGGTCTCCTGATGTCATTAGGTCCTTGGTATAAAAGTTATAAAGGTTAAATTTAGAAAGGACACCTGACGTTAAAATGGCAAATATCACTTCCTCATCTGCCTCTATTTTTAAAAAGTGATTTCCTCTCTGCTTTTAAGAAGTTCTATAGAAAACCACATTCAGTTTTACTTTCAACAGTAGATGTTGTGAAGAGATCAGGCAGATATAGAACAATTAAAATTTCAACTGGCACAGCAAAAAAACCCCCAAAAAACAAAACCAACCCCCTCCCCCCGATCTTCATTTCCAAATGAGGATGAGTATATTACTAATGCTGTAATGGTGTCATCCAGTACATTTGAATGTTTTAATTCTTTTTTAGTTTAGTATACAGGAAAAGGAAAACAACAAGAAAAAGTCCCAAGTGTGTGTGTTTTGTGTTTGCATTGTCATATTTTAAAGAAAGCACTACATTGACCACATAGAATAATATTGATATATTTTTTCAATTGTACAGAAAGAGTCAATTCATAAGCAGAAAGCAAATACATATTAACTTGTCAAGACTAAATCCAGTGTGACACTATTTTTTCATTGTAAAAAAAAAAAAGCTAGGCCCCATGTTTAGCTACATCCATAATAAAATCCAACATTTTATACATAATTCTAAATCATATATACATATTACTCTTTCCAAAGCCATACTAAACCCAAGGATATTAAACCCAATGGGGCAATCTCATATGTATGTAGCATCTTTTGCATTTTACACTTCCAGCATGCTGAAGTTGACACCAAACTTTTTTTAAACAGTCGCTGTGGTGTCTAATACTGTAAGTATGAAAATAAATCTTGAATTAGTCTCACCCTAAGACGATATTTTTTTTTCAGATTTTTTTTATCATTCTTTATTCCAAAGCACTTGCAAATAAGTGATGCCCATTAACAGTGGTCTTTAACTGTCTATGAAAAACTGTAGATTAGAATAATCCAAAACACATTTTGGCATTGATTGTAATTCAAGAGTTTTAGATACTGTTAATACATCTGGAACAAAGTATGACATTAAAAATATTTAATGGGTTATATTGCATTTCTGCAGTTTTAAACAATCCAGTTTCTTCGTGCAATAATTTAAATAGTTTTAAAACTTGATTGGCAATTAGAAGATATAAAGTACTAATATCCTTATTAAAGATCTACCTATTTTGAAACTGAAATTATCTCAAAATGTAGGTTTATTAAGTGAATGATGAAAATTGTACTGTCATCCTTACTTTTCCAAATACGTATGTAATGCTAGAAGTACTATAGAATTGTGACTAAAAGAGAAACCAAGCTTCAGCCATGATATTGGAGGAATTTTGTAAACAGGTTAAAAACAAACCTACTATAACTGTGGCCATAATGGGTTTTTAACATGATCTCTTAGATTCCATACAGAAATACAAGGCAAAATGTAATCCCAGTAATAAAAGTTAAGATACCATCACCATGATGTAAGCATAATTTATATAATCTATGTGGTTGTTCTTACCAAGAAGAACTCCATTATTATGTTCTTAATAATTCACTAATATAGTTTAAATGGCATAAAGGTATTAGCATGGGAATCCATTAGAATACATTAATCTTATGGTAACAGTTTTACAACATTTGTCATTTCCTATAATTTTGTTGGGATTCTTAACTATTTACTTATATCAATATTTAAGATCTTGAAATATTTACATCCACAAATAACTTATCTTGGGATAATTATTCCTAGATAGATAGACAGACAGACAGACAGACAGACAGACAGACAGACAGACAGACACAGACACACACACAGACACACAGACACACACACACCAAGATGGGAAAACCCCCCAATTTTAACAGATGTGCCTAGATACTGTATATTAAAACAATCAGGAAAGCTGGGTGGGTGACTTTGGATCAGTCACTCTCAGCCCTACCTCACAGGATTGTTGTGGGGAAAATAGGAGGCAGGAATATTATGTATCTTCACTGCCTGAAGTTATAAATTAAAAAGGTGGGATAAAAAATACAACAATAATACAACAATAATAACTAATTAAGTAATCTGATTAATTTACAAACTGCTGTACTATATCAATAGATTTTAATACATTAAATTTTATACATATTCATCAGATCATAACAATTTATATTTTCTTCAACTGCTT